ATACATACATATATGTATAAGTAAAACATAACTGAAATGTCTGAGCTTGGTTTCTTAAGTAAGGGATGGATAACTGCATGCTTAAACTCACTTGGTAATTGACCTGACAAGAGCCTGGTATTGATGGTATTGATTATGTTCAGAATATGTGGTCCAACAGTAGAAGTAAAAACAGGGAGGAGTGATATCATTTGAAGAACCACACAGTTTAGCATTTAACATGAGTTTCCCTAGTTCAGGTAGAGCAATTGGTTGGAAAGAAATAAGCAAACTTGAACAGGAAACATGCACAAATGGATCAACGGGAGATAATGTAGAAGGTTTCAAACTGGCAACCTTATCCACAAAAAAGGTAAGAAACTTGAAACAACTAAACGATCAGACCAGTCAACCACAAAGATCGAATTCAAAGAGATCAGACAGACGTGTGGACATGACTGGGGAAACAGGCAAGTAACACCAAAGGGAACTAACATCAAACAAGGAATAACTGTCACGGACCCGGTTCTATAGGGACTCGGGATCCGTGAGCAGTGTGGACCATTATTATCCTCATTATTATTATTATAGTATATGGTGTTTGTTTGCTGCACTGTGCTGTGTTCTCGTGTTCCATGCTTGTGGGTGTGCGTGTGTATAGGCAGGTGTGTGTGGATGCCGGTGTTTCTGAGAGCACCTTCAGGCCTGGTGGGTGTGGCCCTGCCAGGTGGTTGGCCACACCTGAAGACCATCACACAGATGATCAAGCTTCATTGGAGGAGCCGCTTTAAAGTGTGGTGGAGCTCTCTCCAACGCTGGATCGTTGAGTGACTACCCGTCAGTGATTCCAGCAAAATCAGTGAGTGCTAGTCTGTCGCTGTTTAGTTGTATGTTAACAGCTGCCTCTGTGGATTTTCCAGCAGGAGTGCGGGAACAGGAGAGCAGCAAGCAAATGTTTCACGGGAGCGGGGACAAGAAGCACAAGCACTTAGAAAGAAACACAGCACGGGAGTTGGATTTATTGTTGTGTACTATTTACTTCACTGCAAATAAACGCACTGCATTCATTGCACAAAGTCCTGCATTTTGGGTCTTCCTTCCCCACACACCCACAGTTGGCCAGTGTGAACTGTGACAATAGAACCAGAAACATATAGCAAAAAACTCAGAAGTGCTAGGAAACAAAACTGTACTCAAAGGATGAAACAGGAAAAGAACTAGAACATCACTTTTAAAAAACAAATAAATCATGAACCCACAAAACTCAAAACACTGGGTCATTGGACCACCACAAAATCATTGTTACATCACTTTCTGCAGAGGATTTACAATAAGGTGCAAGCCACTGTTTTACACTAAAAAAAAAAAAAAGGGAATATCAAATTAGATTTTGCCACAAAATAACAGGGCCTGCCCAATTCTGGAAAATATTATTTGGGCAGATGAAATCCAAATTTACTTCTACCGAATAATGGGAAGAGAAAACTGAGAAGCAAATGAGTACCTCATGAGCACACCAAAGCACACCACATTATCTGTCAAACATGATGAAGTAATATTATGGGCATGTATGGCTGCCAGTGGGACAGGACCGCTAATGTTTATTGATCCTATATCTGGTGATAAAAGAAACAGGATGACTTCTGAAGTGTACAGGATTATAATCTGTTCAGATTAATTTAAACACTCTAAAATTGATCTGACAGGTTTTGAACAATAGCCTATAGCATTCTCCAAAAGCAACCCAACCTTTTTTTCAGGGAATAAAATGGGATATTCTTCAATCACCAATGCAATCACTTGAACTCAGCTCAACAGAGCATACTGTTAGTTGACTTCTGAGCAGCATACAATCTATTAAAATTTATACAAGTTTTATCCTCAGCACAGACAAAGAACCCCAAAATTCCCTGACTATTACATTAATGTTAAAGTTTAGTTTAGTTTACACAGAGAATCCAACGAAATAATCCTGAGTAGCAACTGCTAATGTAAATGGAAAAACATAATGAATTAATGAATTCAGCGGCTGAGTCAGCTATTCCATGAATGAATCCGCAGGCCTTCACTTCAGTGATAACTGTGAGACAGACACAGGTGGACAAGGGCTGGTGCTGAGCACTACACACAATCTCTCTCTCGCTCTCTCTCAAACGACCACACATACACACACACACACACACACACACACACACACACACACACACACACACACACACACACACACACACACGGCCTAGAGGGTATAAAAGAGTCATGGACGGAAGCCTTCATTGCAGAAGATTTCAGGAAACTGCAGACATGTTTAGGTTTCTTGTGCTGACCTCTCTTGCAGCCCTTGGTAAGAACTGTCTTCTTCTCCTTTGACATTATTGCAAAAGACAAAAATCTTTTCGATCACTTGAACGCTTGATGGCATACTGTTGTACTTTCCATGTCTCTACCTTGTCTAGTGCTGGCTGAGCCGCAGCCCAGGTTTCTGGAGGATGATCGTACACAGGAGAGAGTGGTGGGTGGTGAGGTGGCCAGACCCCACTCCTGGCCCTGGCAGGTACTTGATACTTTACAAATGCTTTAAAAAAGTCCAAAAATGCAAATCAAAACAGAATGCAGGGATTTTCAGATTTCGTAAACCCATATTTTATTCCAGATAGGTCTTCAGTACCTATCTGGAGGCTCCTACTACCACACCTGTGGAGGGACCCTGATCAGGAGAGGATGGGTCATGACTGCTGCTCACTGTGTGGACACGTGCGTGTTACACAGGATATTCTTATGACTTAACTGCATCAAAAAATCTTGGCTTTGCATTTTTCTTATTGCATATCAGTTTTCTATTTAATAAACTAGCAAAAAAACTACATAGTTTTTTTGTGAACTGATTTATTATTATTATTGATTTATTATAATATAATTAAAGAGATGTAAATTTCATCTTCCCACAGCCCCAGAACCTGGCGTGTTGTTCTTGGGGATCACGACATCTATACCCATGAGGGCACAGAGCAGTACATGACCGTGAGTCAGGTCTACGTCCACCCCAGTTGGAACTCCAACAATGTTGCAGGCGGGTTAGTGATATCATGATCTGACACACATTTGCATGCACAAATTTTATATATATATGGTGTGCATATATTTTTCAAGTAAAATCTTTAAAATTGGCAAATTGGGGCATATTTATTCTGTATCCTTAAAGACTTAATGATATTTTAGAAGATGAACAAAACGTGTTATTCATTGAAGGGACTGTGTGCTGGTCTCTCAGGTATGACATTGCCCTCCTGCGTCTGACATCTGATGCTACTCTCAATAACTACGTCCAGCTCGCCGCTCTGCCTCCTGCTAACCAGGTTTTGCCTAACAACAACCCCTGCTATATCAGTGGATGGGGTCGCACCCAGAGTGAGTCTGACATAAGGATATCATGCATTTACACTATACAGTAAATTATTCGGTGCAGTGCTAGCATACATGGGAAAGCAATCTGTAAGAACCATAAAGTCAAGAGAGGGTTTTTTCACCCAGATTTTTTTCAAGACACAGTTGTATTGTGAGTCTTTTTTCTGTACTGCTGTACACAGCTGGAGGTCAGATCTCTGCCCAGCTGAAGCAGGCCTCTCTGCCTGTTGTTGACTACAATACCTGCTCCAGCAGCGGATGGTGGGGGAGCACAGTGAAGACCACCATGGTTTGTGCTGGTGGCGGCAGCAATTCTGGCTGTCAGGTGAGCCAAGAGCATTATTAAGTATTTTAGGCCAGAGTGATTGTTTCATGCTTTTTACTTAGCAACGCTTTGTTGTTTAAAGTGTAATATCCAGGAGTGTTAAGTTGGTAATGCGTAAATAATTTATTAAGTCTTTTGAATCCATAATAAACCATCAGCAAGAAAAATAGGTTTGCTATGTGGTTAATAACCTTTTAGGGTTGAGATGAGTTAAAATCTAGAACTTCATTATTAGCTACAAACAAAGATGAACACTGTCTTCAGTCATTGTAATATTTAACAAACGTTGAACCTTGTTTTTTTAAGCTCTTTAGCAAACTGGTGTGTCAGCCCTAAAAAATGTTTGGGTATAAACAGACAGGAAGAAACGCTGGAAAGAAGTTGTTCTATTTCAGTCCCATGTCACTGTAACAGAGTGACATTTAATGTCTCCCACTGAGTTGGAAGCTGACCCCTTCCTGTCAAGGAAGATATTTTGGGGGGCACATGTGGGATTACTTGCTGCTTCAGCAGGGCATAAGTCACTTACAATAATTCAAGCAAGTGCATAAGCTGCACAAAGTGCATGTTGTAAACTTGTGTTCTGCACAAACTTGCTTTAGGCTGACTGAGAAGTTAGCTGGATATTGGAAGTTGGGAAGTAGTTAAGTGCACTGGCAAATTTGCTCTTGACTTTGTCCAAAATGCATAAATGATTTTTTTTTGTTTGTCTGTGATGTAACCTTTCGAATGCAGGGTGACTCTGGTGGCCCCCTGAACTGCAGTGTTGGTGGCCAGTATGTTGTCCATGGTGTGACCAGCTTTGTGTCCTCCTCGGGCTGCAATGCCTACCAGAAGCCTACTGTCTTCACCCGCGTCTCTGCTTACATCAGCTGGATGAACAGTGTTAGTATTTTATAACCATTAATATAGATCACAGCATTTTAAAACACTGGTTTTGAGTTACTGTGTGTGGTAATGTTTTATTAGTCTTACTACTGCAGTAAATAGAAGATTTCATAGTTAATTTAATCCATTCAATTCTTACAAATATTTTTGCAGCATTTTGTGCAGGTTGATTGTTGTGGTAATCATGTAATGATTCATTTGTCCTTGCTTTGCCAGATCATGGGTTGAGAAGAGTGATCATCTCCATGGAAACACTCTGGATTCACCTCAGTTTCTTACTCCATCAGAATAAAATGTCCTTCAATGCACATGTGCCTCACTATGTTTTTGTTTTGCTTTTTTGTGCTTTTTTTAGTGTTGCATATAAAAGATTTGGCCATTAAAGTATTTAAAAGCATTAGTAATTTGAGGTAAAGTAAAATATCTGAAACACATAATCTATTGACTATTGAGGCAGCAGTTCTAAGAAAATTCACACAAGTTTTTCTTCTGTGTCATGGCCATTTGCTGCTTCTGCTAAACTGATTTTAACAACACTTCAACAATTACACTATCACCACCAGCAGGGATCGTTACTGTTAGTGAGGAAGTAGTATAACATTAGCGATTCAAATATTTGGAAAAATAAAACAAATTTGTTTTAGGAAGAAAACTGCTAATGGCTGCCCAAATTCTCTTTGTCTATTATTATGTTTATTGTTTTTATTGTGTGTCTTTGTCATCATATGACGAAGACACACAGTGATATATTTTAAAGATAGGCTTCACCTGCGGCATACCATAGATGTTATTCCAATCGGAGCAAAGATACAGCTCTGATTTTTGAACCTCCTGGTCACCTAGGGTTTTCCGCATGAATGATTTGTGTGCATTTATCTGTATCTCCTGGGTGTTTCACTTTCCCTTCATATTTTCGTTAGATTAACTAATTGTGATTTTAAATTGCCCATTGGTGTGGATGCATGTCTCAGTGCTAGCCTTATATTGCTTACTAGGGTGTTCAGGCTATATCACCTCTCTGGGATATGCTGGGATAATCTCGAGCCCACCTGTGACCCAGAGCTTGATGTGCAATAAACTAAACAGATGCATCTCTAAGTGACACTAAAACAGTGATACACATTCATATACAATTAGTCTCTCTTTCAAAGTTTATTTTTAATCATTCTTTCTTTTAGGCTCTATTACCTTCAGTGCTTCAATTGAGATCCAGGGCTGAACTCATTCTTCTGTCATCCACTCACAAGCAGATTAGAGTCCTTCAGTGAACCCACACAACCACTCAGGGGACATGCAGAATGCTTTTGTGATATAAACTAAATGTGTTCAACAATCAGACCAAAACTGAAAAAACAAGCTACAAAACTTTCAAATTGCTGTTGAATGCTGGTAGCTCTTCTATCTTTGAGGAAGAAAGAAAATGTCATTCCTCATTAGTGTACCTACAGGTTTTGCTTGGCAGGGTCAGATGGGTTATATAGAAGCAGAATAGAATAAGGAGATGTTGGAAAACTCAACCTGCAGTCAGATATTTTCAGGGTTAGTTGAAGTTTTGAATATGACTAATATGATGTGTCTCTTCATGCCTAGAAGAGAAGGATATGCAGACTTGAATATCGAAATAGATTTTGATACCAGTTCTGACAGCCTCTTAAAAATATTTGTCATAACGATACATTTATAAGGACAAAATAATACACCATGACATTTAAGTCCTTCTTAAAGGACTCTCCTTTTCTAAGGAAAACACACGTGTTAATGTATACCAATTTTTCAAGTGGTACTTTTGCTATGTAACATTTAAATGTTAAATTGTAAATAATATTGATATATATATTTAAAGGCTAGCGAGTGTTTTCACAGTTTCAAATGGTAACACTCGCTTTTGCCAGATATTACATAGCTTACAAGGTATGTCAAGAAGCCTGTATTATGATCCTCAGGAAGTATATTCTAAGAAAAACACTGCCATATTGCCTTTATATCATTATGTCTGCTTGTGAAAAAAAGCTTTGTCTTTTCAGTGGTGTGGCCATATGGTGGTGATGATAGCTCCAAGTCTTACAGTAAATAGCTGTCATATTGTTCTGTTGAGCAGGTATATGATGAAAGTGGAAAATCTACTGTCTAGAGATTTCTTTAGAGATTTGGTTTTCTTTTTTTGAAAGAGTAATTGTGAAACAGCTAAGAATCAGAATCAGAATCAGAATCGGTTTTATTGCCAAATGTTGAGCAGGTTTAGAACATTAGGAAATTGCTGCGGTGCATCAGTGCAAACATAGAGTCATAAATAGCACTTAAATAGACATGAAAAAAATAAAAATAAGAATAAGAGTTAAAAGTGCTACGTAGATAGATATATATACATGAGTGCAGGTGGTGATCAGTGCCAAACATCGAATGATGCAGTGAACACAGCGTAGGGTCATGTGTTAGTGGTGGGAACAGTCATACGGTTATTGTTCAAGTGTCCAACAGCAGAGGGGAAGAAACTGTTCTTATGGCGAGAGGTTCTGGTGCGAATGGACCGGAGCCTCCTGCCTGAGGGGAGCAGGTCAAACAGACTGTGTCCAGGGTGAGAAGGGTCAGCTGAGATCCGAGCTGCACGCCCCAGTGTCCTGGAGGTGTACAGGTCCTGCAGAGATGGGAGTCTGCAAGACTTGAGAGGTTTCAGTCAGGTTTCATAGCTCATCAGAATACAGAATACAGAAATACCTATGGCCTCTGACAGTGATGTAGCCAGAGGACCCTTTACGGTTTCATGCCTTTACGGTTCGGAGCTGCGGACCTGTTTTATATACGTGCGGAATAGTTTTCTATAAGAGATCGCTGCAAAAAGTGCAGCCTTACCTAATGTCCACCCTACTGTTACACATTTTATATTAAGATTTAAAAATGTAGTTAGTATTGCTATGGCCAATAACCTTCAGTAATAGTAATAAATCACACAGCAATAGTACATTCATGTAGTTGTAAAAAGCATGATAATATATTAAGTAATCCAAAGTATTCAGAATACGTTACTCTCACTAAGTAACGTAACGGAATACGTTACAAAATACATTTTGGGGCATGTATTCTGTAATCTGTAGTGAAATACATTTTAAAAGTAACCTTCCCAACACTGGCCTTATTTGGTTTATTTCTGTTATAGGTGTGTATTGACTTGGTGCTCTGATTATGCATCTGTGGGCAATCCATTTACATGCCTGAGGATCTCTCCAACACTTGACATTTTTAAAACCCATCTGAAAACCCATTTTTACTCTCTATTTTTTTTTTTTTACTATGTACAGCACTTTGGTCAACCTGTGTGTTTTTTTTAAATGTGCTTATAAATAAATTGAATGACTGCTTGATTAAGATTCAAGCTCCAGTTATAATTTAAATAAAACCATCATTCACTTCTTGAATATTTTTTACTTTTTACTTCACAGTCTTTTCTTTATGTGTCTCAGAGTATTCTTATGGCACTGTGCCAGCATTATCAGCTACACGCTACATGCTATACTGTACTTCAGTTAAACCTGTTCAGCCTGGAGCTACATTCTTATCTCCATACTCCAGCAATCAGCTCAGCTCAGCTCATCCAATGTGCCAAAGCCTCATCAGCACCCTCTTTAAACTTCCTTTTAAAATAATACAATTTTTGTCTAACTGACAATCCTTCTTTGAGCTCTGCATTTGGATAATCAAGTTGTCCCTTTCTGACATACTGCAAACTATAAGTGTTCTTCATGTTCCAAATGCAGCTTCAACAGATTTAAATCCAAAGAGCTTCACCTCCATCTCTATGATACTCAGTTAATTACAATGAAAAGAAGATTATTTTTATAGACAGACTCACTGAGATAAAGACAAACTCTTTTTCGTCTAACATGTACAGAGTGTGTTCGCAACTCTATTCTTTAATGTGAAAAATTAAAAATCCATGTCAGTCAACAAACCTAACTTGCAGCTGAAAGGTCAGCTGATTATCCTCTCATGCAGTATTTTTGTGTTTCTGTCCTCCTGACATCTGCATCAATTCATAATACATTTCTCATCTTCAACTCTTTGTGTTTCTCTTTTTTCTCTCTTTCTCCTCTACCATTTTTTGGTTTTCCTCCAGTAATTTATACTTCTGCTCCAAGGCTTTAAATTTCTCCTTCAGTTGCTTTTTTTTTTTTGCAGTCCTTCATTTTTCTTTCTACTTCAAACTACTGTTCTGTCATGACTTTGTTTTCCTGTTCCAGCTGTTTATTCCTTTCTTCAGCTCACTTATATTTATTCACTATTTACCACGCAATGATCCGTCGGAGAGAGCTCCAACGCATTCTTAAGTAGCTCCTCCTACAAAGCTTGATCAGCTGTGTGATGGTCTTCAGGTGTGGCCAACCACCTGGCAGGGCCACACCCACCAGGCCTGAAGGTGCCTATAAACAGGTGCTCTCAGAAAT